TAGTAGCTACTACACATGTAGTAGCTACTACACATGTAGTAGTAGCTACTACACATGTAGTAGCTACTACACATGTAGTAGTAGCTGCTACTACTTATGTAGTTATATAGTAGCTACTACTACATAGTTATATAGTAGCTACTACTACATGTGTAGTAGCTACTACATGTGTAGTAGCTACTACTACATGTGTAGTAGCTACTACATGTGTAGTAGCTACTACTACATATAGTAGCTACTACTACATATGTAGTAGTAGCTACTATATATGTACTACATGTGTATTAGATACTACATATGTAGCTAATAGACATAGCTACTACATATATATGCTGGCCTCGTAGCTACTACACGTGTAGTAGCTACTACACATGTAGTAGTAGCTACTACTACTTATGTAGTTATATAGTAGCTACTACTACATATGTAGTAGCTACTACATATGTGTACTACATGTGTAGTAGCTACGGGCCCCGCACTTTCAAGAGCCCCGCGCTAAATGCTTCCAAAGCTATCAATTCCGGTATTAGTGACTTACTCTATTACTATAGTACTATACCGCCTTCAACTTTTATGAACGACTGGGTGTTTAAGGTTAGCGATTTGTCGTATTATCTGGCCGTATAGCAAATGAAAAATACAATTATTTTACTATGCAAGTTAAGCATTGTGTTGTAATATTTGCGTTTTTTTTATTTAGGGCCCCTTTATAACATCATATGCTACAGGCCCGGCACTTAGCTTAATCCGACACTGCCTAGGGGCGGGGGGGGAGGCCCAGGACCGGTTCAGATAATCGTCACCTGTTGTTGTTGTTGTTGGCCATGAGCGGGAATCGAACTCGGGTGGTCGAGTTCGTAGCACATAGCGCTAACTACTACGCCACCGCTCCCAACCACAGACGCACAAGTGTCCACACACACACACACAGGTGTCCACACACACACACAGGTGTCCACACACACACACAGGTGTCCACACACACACACAGGTGTCCACACACACAGGTGTCCATACACACACACACAGGTGACCACACACACACACAGGTGTCTACACACACACACACAGGTGTCCACACACACACAGGTGTCCACACACACACACACACAGGTGTCCACACACACAGGTGTCCACACACACACAGATGTCCACACACAGATGTACACACAGAGATGTACACACACACACAGGTGTCTACACACACACACAGGTGTCTACACACACACACAGGTGCCCACACACACAGGTGTCCACACACACACACAGGTGTCCACACACACAGGTGTCACACACACAGGTGTCCACACACACACACAGGTGGCCACACACACACAGGTGGCCCACACACACACACACAGGTGTCCACACACAGGTATCACACACACACACACACAGGTGTCCACACACACACACAGGTGTCCACACACACACAGGTGTCACACACACAGGTGTCCACACACACACACAGGTGCCCACACACACACAGGTGTCCACACACAGGTGTCACACACACACAAAGGTGGCCACACACACAGGTGTCACACACACAGGTGTCCACACACACACACAGGTGTCCACACACACACACAGGTGTCACACACACAGGTGTCACACACACACACACAGGTGACCACACACACAGGTGCCCACACACACACAGGTGTCACACACACACACACAGGTGTCCACACACACACAGGTGTACACACACACAGGTGTCTACACACACAGGTGTATATACACACACACAGGTGTCACACACACACAGGTGTCCACACATACACAGGTGCATATATACACACACACACACACAGGTGTACACACACACAGGTGTCTACACACACAGGTGTATATACACACACACAGGTGTCCACACACAGATGTACACACACACAGGTGCATATACACACACACAGGTGTCCACACACAGATGTACACACACACACACAGGTGTCTACACACACACAGGTGCCCACACACAGGTGTCCACACACACACAGGTGCCCATACACAGGTGTCCACACACACACAGGTGTCCACACACACAGGTGCCCACACACACACACAGGTGTATATACACACACACAGGTGTCCACACACAGGTGTACACACACACACACAGGTGTCTACACACACACACACAGGTGTACACACACACACACAGGTGCCCGCGTCGGGGAATCGAACCCACACTGCCTTGCATGAGGCCAACAGCACTGACGTGTGTGACCGTGTGTAGGTCGACTCGGCCTCAAATGAGTACCTGGTGCGGTGTGTAGTAAACGTCGCCACTAGGGAGACAAAGGCGGCCGGGCGTGGTGCTGGCCACCCACCCCCTCGTGTGCCGTGACGGCCTTCATAGGTGCTGCTCGCTGACAGCACTTGCCCCAACAGTCGGCTCAGGCTACACGGGGGATCTTTGTCTGCGTGAGTGAGTGTGTGGTGTGGAGTTTGTACGTTTAACTCGCTGACAGCACTTGCCCCAACAGTCGGTCCAGGCTACACGGGGGATCTTTGTCTTTGAAATGGGCAAGCCCCGGATGGAGCTGCGTGACGACCTGGAGTCCGAGACGTTCGGGGTGGCCGGGTTCGTAGCGCAGCGCAGCGCTAATCGCTGCACCACCGCTCCTCGCATGCCTGCAGTTCGATTCCGGCCCACAGCCACTAAGCATCGGTGACGATGATCTGGACCCCGTCCATGGGCCTCCCGTAGGTCTACTCGGCCTTAAACGAGTGCGTTGCGTCGAACATCGACGCCGGGGAGACAAAGGCGGCCTTCGTGCGTGCTACTCGCTAAAATGCACTTGCCCCAAGGGTTGCCGTGGGCTATACGGGGGACCTTTGTCTTATGTTGCGATCGCACCGAGCGTCGGGTTGAGATTAACCTCGCATGACGATAACCGGAGTCCCCGGCATAGGAACGTGGAATCTCCACCGAACCACAGCAAGTCAAACGAGAGATGCCCCTCGTAGATCGCAGGGGTCACGTTGACTTTGACCGTCACGTGACTCCCAACAACCGCGAGCCACGTGACCGGTGGTTGTGTCCACCCCCTCCCAGTGACCCCGCCCCCCTCTCCCTCCCCCCATTTCCTCCATCCCCACCCCCTCGTCCCCCTTCACAGTGACCCCAACCCCCACGGGGCTGCCTCCCTCCCCCCTCCCTCCCATGACCCCTCTCCAGTGACCCCCCCCCTCGCCCCCCCCCCCCCCCGCTCGGAGTGACCCCCTCCCCCCCATTCCACGGTCACCCCCCCCCCCTGCACTGCTTCCTCCCATCCCAGAACCCCCTCCACCCTCCCCCTTGTCCCCCCCCCCCGCCCTCCCCTCTAACCCCCCCGGAGAGCCACGTGCGCCCCTCACCCCCAGTAAGAGTTTCCGGATGGGGTTCAAGCCTCGTGTAGGGCGAGTGCCGTGCGCAATGCCGGTAACCACGTGGCCCGGCATTGAACAAGCTGCCAAGCCAGGCTACTAAGGGAGCCTCCGGCAACAAGCTGCCAAGCCAGGGTACTAAGGGAGCCTCCGGCAACAAGCTGCCACGCCAGGCTACTAAGGGAGCCTCTGGGAACAAGCTGCCAAGCCAGGCTACTAAGGGAGCCTCTGGGAACAAGCTGCCAAGCCAGGGTACTAAGGGAGCCTCTGGGAACAAGCTGCCAAGCCAGGCTACTAAGGGAGCCTCCGGGAACAAGCTGCCAAGCCAGGCTACTAAGGGAGCCTCCGGGAACAAGCTGCCACGCCAGGCTACTAAGGGAGCCTCTGGGAACAAGCTGCCAAGCCAGGCTACTAAGGGAGCCTCTGGGAACAAGCTGCCAAGCCAGGGTACTAAGGGAGCCTCTGGGAACAAGCTGCCAAGCCAGGCTACTAAGGGAGCCTCCGGGAACAAGCTGCCAAGCCAGGCTACTAAGGGAGCCTCCGGGAACAAGCTGCCAAGCCAGGGTACTAAGGGAGCCTCTGGGAACAAGCTGCCACGCCAGGCTACTAAGGGAGCCTCCGGGAACAAGCTGCCAAGCCAGGGTACTAAGGGAGCTTCTGGGAACAAGCTGCCACGCCAGGCTACTAAGGGAGCCTCCGGGAACAAGCTGCCAAGCCAGGGTACTAAGGGAGCCTCTGGGAACAAGCTGCTAAGCCAGGCTACTAAGGGAGCCTCCGGGAACAAGCTGCCAAGCCAGGCTACTAAGGGAGCCTCTGGGAATAAGCTGCCAAGCCAGGCTACTGAGGGAGCCTCCGGGAACAAGCTGCTAAGCCAGGCTACTTAGGGAGCTTCCGGCAACAAGCTGCCAAGCCAGGCTACTAAGGAAGCCTCTGGGAACAAGCTGCCAAGCCAGGCTACTTAGGGAGCCTCCGGCAACAAGCTGCCACGCCAGGGTACTAATGGAGCCTCCGTTCGGCGGAACAACGTCAACGCATTCGTCAATAACACTGTGGCCTTAACAACGGTGACGTTAAATTTCGATTTAAAGCTTTCGTGACTGCAAGGAATCATCTTCTTTGGTTCTTTCGGTAAAGTCACGTAGAATGAGAATAAAATAATAAATTTATAAAATAAAATAACACAATAATATTCTCACGACGTTTCGGCCACAACACAAGCGGCCTTCATCAGGTGAAGGGACGAGACTGTCTGGTAGGACAGCGCTGGAGTGAAAGAGCCACGTTCAGATCACGGCCTTTAAGCTGTGTGAGAAGAAACAAAGCGCCTTTACAACGGTGACGTTTTGGGCAATGGGCCTTCTTCACGATCTTAAGAAGGGCCGTTGCCTGAAACGTCACGTATTAGGTTTTTGTTTTTATTTATTTTCAAGGCACACACGCAGTGTTCGTTATTGGCTAACGTGTTGAGTTGTTGTTTTTATAAATTGTAGACCACCGAGAACCAGATCATTTACCCAAAACACAACACCAACTATACAATACCTTAGACACTACGCGTATAGACTTGGTATGAACGAAACTGCAATTGCCATGCCATATGGCATCTCGGTTACTTGTGAACTTACCGTCGTTCTCGCGAAGCGGGTCTCCGCTTCGGATTGACCTTAGGGGTACACGCTCCTCCGCAGAGAACCTGGAAGACAAGATCACGTGACACTTGATATCATCTTCCGTTTCAGAGCCTTTCGTTGAACCACCTTCAGGGGCCTTAATTTCAACAATAATCATCATTTTAATACGTAGGCTTTCGCGAAAAAACCTTTATTATGAATAATCATCATGATTAGCATTATTGTTGCCATCACGCTTCCCCGTCTTATATCTCATCGATGTACATTCAAATCGCAGACACTTCATTCCAAGGCGCTCTACCACGCGTCTAAACAGATTGTACGTCACGTGAGCACAGACACCACGATACGGTCACAGCAGCCAGCAACGATCGACACCATCTCCGGATCCCCTTTGTTGTCAGTATTAAGATGATGAAAATTGATACGGGGTCGCCTCTACTTACGAACGAGTTAGGTTTCAGAGGTATGTTCGTAAGTCGATTTGTTAGCAAGTCCAACTTCACTCCTGTCGATTCCAAACACGTTGTACCGGCGTGTACACTAAACACGGGGAATGTCTTTAAAAGTGTTATAGTCTACTATAGACGCAGATGCCACTAGTTTTTCACGTTATACAGATGTAGATACCACTGGTTCTTAACGTTCTCCAGATGTAGATGCCACTGGTTCTTCACCTTCTGCAGATGTAGATGTCACTGGTTCTTCACGTTCTGCAGATGTAGATGCCACTGGTTCTTCACCTTCTGCAGATGTAGATGCCACTGGTTCTTCACGTTCTGCAGATGTAGATGCCACTGGTTCTTCACGTTCTGCAGATGTAGATGACACTGATTCTTCACGTTTTGCAGATGTAAATGCCACTGGTTCTTCACGTTCTGTAGATGTCACTGTTCTTCACGTTCTGCAGAAGTAGATGCCACTGGTTCTTCACTTTCTGTAAATGCCACTGGTTCTTCACGTTCTGTAGATGTAGATGTCACGGGTTCTTCACGTTCTGTAGATGCCACTGGTTCTTCACGTTCTGTAGATGTCACTGGTTCTTCACGTTCTGTAGATGTAGATGCCACTGATTCTTCACGCTCTGCAGATGTAAATGCCACTGAATCTTCACGTTCTGCAGATGTAAATGCCACTGGTTCTTCACGTTATATAGATGTAGATGTCACTGGTTCTTCATGTTCTATAGATGTAGATGCCACCACCGCCATCTATTGCAAGGCGATTGAACTTGCGCCTCTCGGTCCAAACAGGAAACTGGACAATCGGTACAGGTGTGTTCGTATCTCTGAAAGTTCGTAAGTCGAATGTTCGTAAGTAGATTCCCTGTGTATATATAAGAATAGGCTTTACCCTTTCTGGTAAAAATTTCGGAGTTGTTAAGATGTCACGTCGTACTCAGATTGTAAATGTTGTGGCTTGGCTCTCCAACACACCGGTGTGCTGTACTAATGACGAATTGGCCACGTTCTGTTTACGTGACAACACCTTACTAGTTGGCTGTGTCGGGTGGTGGCGGGTTTGAACGACACATTTATATATTTACGCGATCTAACCCCAACAAACCTTTATTATGGATGATATTGGTCGCGAAAGCCTACGCGTTAAACTCGCCTCCGTTACTACATGACATGAGGTCTGCGTGAACAAGTGTGCTTTAATAGTAATACTGGCAATGTACGCGTTGTCCTTGAAGGTGATTGGCCTTCTCCAGAGCCACAGCCTCATTTACGGCTTCGTCTCTCACGAAACTGGGAAGACAAAGGCGGCCGGCCGTGGTTTGCTGGCTGCCCACCCCCTCGTGTGACGTGCCGGCCTTCATAGGGTGCTGCTACTCGCTAACAGAACTTGCCCCAACATTCTGTTAAGGCTACACGGGGGATCTTTGTCGTGTTGTGTTGTCTCACGCAGTGCTCTCGCGCAGAGAACGTCTAGCAAAGGGCGATCAGTACAAGGGCTATGCAATCGCAAATTAAAAATCTACGGGACCTTTCTCTATGTGTTGCCAGTATCAAAAAGAAGAATCTGTTTTGACTCTTTCTGGCAATGGGACGGGGGGTGTTTAAGATGTTTAATATGTTCAAGCACCGAGTGGACACCTTTTTGGAAGGCGTCGTCCAGTACTGCGTTAAGCACGCAGTGCTTGGTGGCAAAACATGTGAACAAACATGCTCTGATGATATACACGTTGTCTTTGAAACTAAAAAAAGAAGGCTCTGGTGTAGGCCAATCGGTTGAATGAGTGGGTGAGTGGGTGAGTGTGTGGGTGAGTAAGTGAGTGGGTGAGTGGGTGAATGAATGAGTTACTGAGTCAGTGAGTGACTGGGTGAGTGTGTGGGTGAGTAAGTGAGTGGGTGAGTGGGTGAGTGAGTGGGTGAGTGGGTGAGTGAGTGGGTGAGTAAGTCGGTGAGTGAGTGGGAGAGTGAGTGGATGGGTGAGTAAGTGAGTGGGTGAGTGAGTGAAATTAGTGAGTGAGTGAGTGGGTCATTGAGTGAGTGGGTGAGTAAGTGGGTGAGTGAGTGGATGGATGAGTGAGTGGGTGGGTGAGTGAGTGGGAGGGAGAGTGGGTGGGTGGGTAAGTGGGTGGATGAGCGGGTGAGTGAATGGCTGACTGAGTGAGTGGGTGAGTGACTTAATGGACTACTATAACGCAGCAGTGAGCTATAAGACCCAAGTGTTCCACCACAGATGCTCACAGCAACATCAGCAGCAGCTGGAATCAAACTCAGGTTGAACCTGTGTGTTGTATCGCAGTATAGTAATGCATTACCCGTGCCGATGTCTCTGGCAACGGAAATGAACACACCCATCCAACTTCCATTGACTCCGCCTGCGTCAGATCATGAAGACAGCGATTCGATGAGGGGTCTCATGCCACTGATGTGTAGACCAAAGTGTATATTGTTGCGTAGACTAAGTGATCTAATCCAAGTGGTCTACACAACCTGTGCCCCCCCACCTCCCCTCTTGACTGACCCCAACGTGGCTCTGAAACAAACACAATAAGTGCGCTAACCACTGCACGACCGCTCCCCACAAAACAAAGATCCCTCCCCCCCCGTGTAGCCTTAACAGACTGTAGGGGTAAGGGCGGTTAGTGAGTAGCACCTATGAAGGCCGGAACGGCACGCACGAGTGGGTTGGTGGCCAGCGCCACGCCCGGCCGCCTTTGTCTCCCCCAGTGGCGATGTTTACTACACACCGCATCAGGTACTCGTTTGAGGCTGAGTCGACCTAGGGCAGGCCCAGAACCGGTTCAGATAATCGTCACCGGTGTTGGCCGTGAGCGGGAATCGAACCCGGGTCGCCAGGTTCATAGCACAGCGTAGCACTAAACGCTACACTACCGCACCACAACCACAACCACACACACAGACAGACACACACACACACAGACACACACACAGACACACACACACAGACACACACACAGACACAGACACACACAGACACACACAGACACACAGACACACACACAGACACACACACAGACACACACACAGACACACACAGACACACACACAGACACACAGACACACACAGACACACACAGACACACACACAGACACACACACACACACAGACACACACAGACACACACAGACACACACACAAACACACACAGACACACAGCAACACACACACAGACACACACACAGACACACACAGACACACACACAGACACACACCAACAACAACAACAACCGCCGTTCGCCACTAAGTGGCGGTGACGTCACCACGACGCTTGTGCCAGGCTATGTGCACCCTGAGGCCACGTGAAGTATCGAACGCCCGCTGGCAGGAGGTCACGGGGCAGACCCAGGTGCCACGGGTCGACTGACTGAGATGACTGGCTGATGCACCACCTGTGCCCCCTACTGTGCCAACCTGCTGTGCTTTAGCCACCCGGCGCTCCGCTCGTTGTTGTGAGCGTCGCTCCTCCGCCCTCCGTTGTTGTTGGAGGGCGACTACCTCCAACTGCCCAGTAGCATCCTTCACGAGCCTCCTCCACAGAGGCCGATCTTGACACCGCTGGTACCAGTCATCGGCAAGTCCACTCAGCTCCACGTCCTCCTGTACCACATCACTCCATCTCTTCTCTAGCCCGTGTCGCGCCCGCTTTGCCCCCTCAATCCGGCCGAACAAAAGCTGTTTCGGCATGCGGTGGCTGGGCATGCGGGCTACATGACCCAGCCATCGCAGCCTTGCCCGCCGGAGGAACTCACCGATGGGACCTTGCCCAGATCTTTCAAGGATTTGTGAGCTCCTCACACAATCCAGTCTGGTTAAACCCAGGATGGATCGTAGGCAGGCCAGCCTAAATGTTTCTAACCGGCGAAGATGTTCCTTTAGGGGGGTCCACGTTTCGCAAGCGTAGAGAAGGGAGGGAATGACCGTGGCCGAGAAGACCTGAAGCTTAGTGCGGAGCGACAGACCAGGTAGCTTCCACACAGCGTTACGCAAGCGATGAAAAGATATTGCCGCTCGACTGATTCGGAGTGAGACCTCTGCTGTTAAACTGGAGCCAGTCATAAGCACACAGACACACACACACAGACACACACACAGACACACACACACAGACACACACACAGACACACACACAGACACACACAGACACACACACAGACACAGACACATACAGACACACACACAGACAGACAGACACACACACACAGACACACACACAGACACACACACAGACACACACACAGACACACACACACAGACACACACACAGACACACACACACAGACACACACACACAGACACACACACACACAGACACACACACACACAGACGCACACACACACACTGTGGCGTGTGTACGGAATGTACTGGTTCCTTAAGGTGGGTTGAACTTCTTTCGCACCGTAGGTAGCTATTCGTGCTAATCGGAGGTTATATAGGTTTGTTTAAACATCACCAAACGATATCATCACCATCATTATCACCACCATCACCATTATAATTACAAAGACATCATCACGACCACCACCATCATCATCATGACTATCATTATAATCACCACCACCAATCCTCATTTACTGCCATCTTCATCATCACCATCACCGCCATCATCACCACCACCACTCCCATCACCACCATCATTACCACCACCACTACTCCCATCACCACCACAACCATCATCACCACCACCACCACCATCGTCACCATCAACATTACTAAGGAATCATCATCACCATACCCATCATCATTACCACCACCATCATTACTATCGCTCCCATCTCCACCGCCATCATTACCATCACGATCACTACCGCTCCCATCACCACGACAACCATCATCACCACCATCACAGCCATCATCACCATCATTATTTATAGCACCGCCATCACCGCCATCCCTATTACCACTACCACCATCACAGCCATCTTCATCCATCATCATCCATCATCATCATCGATAGCACCACTATTTATTTCCAAATTGTTTGACTTCAACCCGAGTGGCGGATACAGATAGATCAAATTAATAATATTAACAGTAATATAAATAGGCATCGCGTCGCGGCTGGGAGATGGCCTGGTCTGGCACGGCTATAAAGGAATACCTGGAGAGAGAGCGGGAGAGAGAGGAGACACTCTCACTGAGAATACGCGGAGAGAGAGAGAGACAGGGAGACGTGGAGATAGGGAACAGTGGAGAGAGGGAGACGTGGAGAGAGACAGCGAGACGTGGAGAGAGAGACAGGGAGAGGTGGAGAGAGACAGGGAGACGTGGAGAGACAGGGAGAGGTGGAGAATGGCAGGGAGACGTGGAGAGAGATAGGGGGAGACGTGGAGAGACAGGGAGACGTGGAGATAGAGAGATGGAGACGTGGAGAGAGAGGGAGACGTGGAGAGAGAGAACAGTGGAGAGAGGGAGACGTGGAGAGAGAGAGAGGGAGACGTGGAGAGAGAGAGAGAGAGAGAAAGACGTGGAGAGAGAGAGGGAGACGTGGAGAGAGATGGGGAGATGTGGAGAGAGACAGGGAGACGTGGAGAATGGCAGGGAGACGTGGAGAGAGAGAGGGAGACGTGGAGAGAGACAGGGAGACGTGGAGAGAGAGAGAGAGGGGGGGGGAGACGTGGAGAGAGAGAGAGACGTGGAGAGAGACAGGGGGAGACGTGGAGAGAGAGAGGGAGACGTGGAGAGATAGAGAGAGAGGGAGACGTTGAGAGAGAGAGGGAGACGTGGAGAGAGAGAGGAAGACGTGGAGAGAGAGAGGGGGAGATGTGGAGAGAGACAGGGAGACGTGGAGAGAGAGGGGGAGATGTGGAGAGAGACAGGGGGAGACGTGGAGAGAGACGGGGAGACGTGGAGAGAGAGAGAGGGGGGGAGACGTGGAGAGAGAGAGACGTGGAGAGAGAGAGAGAGGGAGACGTGGAGAGAGAGAGAGAGAGGGGGGGGAGACGTGGAGAGAGAGAGACGTGGAGAGAGACAGGGGGAGACGTGGAGAGAGAGAGGGAGACGTGGAGAGAGAGGGAGAGAGGGAGACGTTGAGAGAGAGAGGGAGACGTGGAGAGAGAGAGGGAGACGTGGAGAGAGAGAGGGAGACGTGGAGAGAGAGAGAGAGAGGGAGACGTGGAGAGGGCATCAGGCAGCAGACTCGGCACTCCGCTCTGACGCGAGAAGGGAGACACGCGGTTTCTCTCCATCCACGTTGCTCCGTGTTCCTCGTCTCTCGCTCTCCTCTCTGCTCCCATTTTCACGTTTCTCTCCGTGTCTCTTCCTCTCTCCCTCTTGCTGTCTCTAACCCGACTCTCTCTATCTCTCTCTGCTGTCTCTAACCCGACTCTCTCTCTCTCTGCTGTCTCTAACCCGACTCTCTCCCCTACGTGGACATTTTGAATCCTCCTCGCCTGACGTGCACCCAATTCCTGGTTTTGTGTTGTCCCACCGCTCACTTTCGCCTTTCTTTCTCTCTCTCTCTCGTCTCACCCTCTCCGTTTCACTGCCCCAGCTCACTCTCAAGTTTCTCTCTCTCCCCTCGCTCTCCCCTCTCTCAACCCGTCTCTCCCGTCTCTCCCCCTCTCTCCCCTCTCTCTCTCTCCCCCGTCTCCCTCTCTCTCTCCCCTCGCTCTCCCCTAGCTCTCCCACCTCTCTCCACCCGTCTCTCCCGTCTCTCTATCCCCGTCTCTCTCCTCTCCCCCGTATCTCCCCCACTCTCTACCCGTCTCTCTCATCTCACTTTCTCCCTGTCTCTCTCCCCGTCTCTCCCCATCTCTCTCCTCCCCGTCTCTCCCCCTCTCCCAACCCGTCTCTCTCATCTCACTTTCTCCCTGTCTCTCTCCCCGTCTCTCCCCATCTCTCTCCTCTCCCCCGTCTCTCCCCCTCTCTCCACCAGTCTCTCTCGTCTCACTTTCCCCCTGTCTCTCTCCCCGTCTCTCTCTCTCTCCCCGTCTCTCTCCCCGTCTCTCCCCGTCTCTCTCTCCCCGTCTCTCTCTCCCCGTCTCTCCCGTCTCTCACTCGGACATGTTGCTCAAACCGCTCGGATTAACTCCACCTCGTGAGACCAGACGCCCAGGGACCAGTAAGGGTGAGTCACTCCTCACTACCACTCCTCACTACCACTCCTCACTACCACTCCTCACTACCAGTCACTCCTCACTACCACTCCTCACTACCACTCCTCACTACCACTCACTACCAGTCACTCCTCACTACCACTCACTCCTCACTACCACTCCTCACTACCACTCACTCCTCACTACCACTCCTCACTACCAGTCACTCCTCACTACCACTCCTCACTACCAGTCACTCCTCACTACCACTCCTCACTACCACTCCTCACTACCAGTCACTCCTCACTACCACTCCTCACTACCACTCCTCACTACCACTCCTCACTACCACTCACTCCTCACTACCACTCCTCACTACCACTCACTCCTCACTACCATTCCTCACTACCAGTCACTCCTCACTACCAGTCACTCCTCACTACCAGTCACTCCTCACTACCAGTCACTCCTCACTACCACTCCTCACTACCAGTCACTCCTCACTACCACTCCTCACTACCACTCACTCCTCACTACCACTCCTCACTACCACTCACTATTCACTACCACTCACTCCTCACTACCACTCCTCACTACCACTCCTCACTACCACTATTCACTACCACTCCTCACTACCACTCACTCCTCACTACCACTCACTATTCACTACCACTCACTCCTCACTACCACTCCTCACTACCACTCCTCACTACCACTATTCACTACCACTCCTCACTACCACTCACTCCTCACTACCACTCACTATTCACTACCACTCACTCCTCACTACCACTCACTCCTCACTACCACTCCTCACTACCACTCCTCACTACCACTCACTATTCACTACCACTCCTCACTACCACTCACTATTCACTACCACTCCTCACTACCACTCACTCCTCACTACCACTCCTCACTACCACTCCTCACTACCACTCACTATTCACTACCACTCCTCACTACCACTCACTATTCACTACCACTCCTCACTACCACTCACTATTCACTACCACTCCTCACTACCACTCACTATTTACTACCACTCACTCCTCACTATTCACTACCACTCACTATTCACTACCACTCCTCACTACCACTCCTCACTACCACTCCTCACAACCACTCCTCACAACCACTCACTCCTCACTACCACTCCTCACTACCACTCACTATTCACTACCACTCACTCCTCACTACCACTCCTCACTACCACTCCTCACAACCACTCCTCACAACCACTCACTCCTCACTACCACTCCTCACTACCACTCACTATGCACTACCACTCACTCCTCACTACCACTCCTCACTACCACTCCTCACAACCACTCCTCACAACCACTCACTCCTCACTACCACTCCTCACTACCACTCACTATTCACTACCACTCACTCCTCACTACCACTCCTCACTACCACTCACTCCTCACTAACACTCCTCACTACCACTCACTCCTCACTACCACTCCTCACTACCACTCACTCCTCACTACCGCTCACTATTCACTACCACTCCTCACTACCACTCACTCCTCACTACCACTCCTCACTACCACTCGCTCCTCACTACCACTCCTCACTACCACTCACTCCTCACTACCACTCCTCACTACCACTCACTATTCACTACCACTCCTCACTACCACTCACTACCACTCACTATTCACTACCACTAACTCCACACTACCACTCCTCACTACCACTCACTCCTCACTACCACTCACTCCTCACTACCACTCACTCCTGACTACCACTCACTACCACTCACTATTTACTAATACTACTCACTACCACTCACTCCTCACTACCACTCACTACCACTCACTCCCGCTCACTACCACTCACTATTCACTACCACTCACTCCTCACTACCACTCACTCCTCACTAACCACTCACTCCTGAATACCACTCACTACCACTCACTATTCACTAATACTACTCACTACCACTCACTACTCACTACCACTCACTCCTCACTACCACTCACTCCTGACTACTACTCACTACCACTCACTATTCACTAATACTACTCACTACCACTCACTACTCACTACCACTCACTCCGCACTACCACTCACTCCTCACTACCATTCCTCACTACCACTCACTCCTCACTACCATTCCTCACTACCACTCACTCCTCACTACCACTCACTACCACTCACTATTCACTACCACTCACTCCTCACTACCACTCCTCACTACCACTCACTCCTCACTACAACTCACTCCAACTCACTCCTCACTACCACTCACTATTCACTACCACTCACTATTCACTAACACTACTCACTACTACTATCGTTACCAACTACTACTGCTGCTCACTAACACTACTCACGACCACTTTGCATCGCTATTGCTTATTAAACACAACTCACTAATTACTACCTTGAGCACAACTCACCGATGATGACCGCTACCGACTACGGCTCAATATAACCTCCCACTACCAGTTCCTAGTCACTCGGGGGTGGTGCAGGTAGCAGCCAGGGTTGGTGGGTCACACACGGAAAGGGTGTGGAACTCTCTCCTGTTCCGTTGTTGCACTGAAGGCAGTACAGCAAGTACACCTGTACGTAGGAGGGGAGCTGTGTGTGTGTGTGTGTACGTTGAACTTCGTTCGCACCGTACGTAGCCAGCCGCGATGATCGGAGGTGCAGTGGAATAATAACAAACTAAACACATGCAAAGCAGAGATCTATGGAGACCCGCAGAGATCCAGAGACTCATATAGACCCATAGAGACCCACAGAGATCTAGAGACTCATATAGACCCATAGAGACCCACAGAGACTCATATAGACCCATAGAGATCTAGAGACTCATATAGATCCATAGAGACCCACAGAGATCTAGAGACTCATATAGACCATAGAGACCCACATAGATCCAGAGACTCATATAGACCCATAGAGATCTAGAGACTCATATAGACGCATAGAGCCCACAAAGATCTAGAGACTCATATAGACCCATAGAGACCCACATAGACCCAGAGACTCATATAGACTCATAGAGACACACAGAGATCCAGAGATTCATATAGACCCATAGAGACCCATAGAGATCCAGAGACTCATATAGACCCATAGAGACCCATAGAGATCCAGAGACTCATATAGACCCATAGAGATCTAGAGACTCATATAGACCCATAGAGACCCACAGAGATCTAGAGACTCATATAGACTCATAGAGACCCACAGAGATCTAGAGACTCATAGAGACCCATAGAGACACACAGAGATCTAGAGACTCATATAGACCCATAGAGACCCACAGAGACTCATATAGACCCATAGAGACCCACATAGACCCAGAGACTCATATAGACCCATAGAGACCCACAGAGATCTAGAGACTCATAGAGACCCATAGAGACACACAGAGATCTAGAGACTCATAGAGACCCATAGAGACACACAGAGATCTAGAGACTCATATAGACCCATAGAGACCCACAGAGACTCATATAGACCCATAGAGACCCACAGAGATCTAGAGACTCGTATAGACCCATAGAGACCCACAGAGACCCACAGAGACTCATCGAGACCCATAGAGACCCACAATCACGTGTATATGTACGTTAAACTTCTTTTGCGCAATACGTAGCTTAAACGCGCCAACCACTACTGCTCACTATCTACACCACCACCACTACAACCACCACACGCACGACACATCTGTGTGTGCGCGTCTAATAAGTGCTCGCGAACAGCACTTGCCCCAACATTCCGTTGAGGCTATACGGGCGAGGGGGACACCCTTTGTATTTGCCTTCGTTGTGTGTGCAGTGATTCTTTGAGTGTAGGTCGACTCAGCCTCAAATGAGTACCTGGTGCGGTGTGTAAAACATAATGACCGGGGAGACAAAGGCGGCCGGGCGTTGGTGCTGGCCACCCACCCCCTCGTGTGCCGTGCCGGCCTTCATAGGTGCTGTTCGCTAACAGCACTTGCCCCTACAGTCTGTTAAAGGCTATACGGGGGGAGTCTTTATATAGTGTGTTTAATGCGTGCGTGTGTATGTATATACGTGTTGTTTATATACATATACTTGCCCCAATAGTCTGTTAAAGGCTATACGGGGGGAGTCTTTATATAATGTGTGTTTAATGCGTGTGTATTTATGTATATACGTGTTATTTATATACATATACTTGCCCCAATAGTCCGTTAAAGGCTATACGGGGGGAGTCTTTGTTGAGTGTGTGATTAATGCGTGTGTATGTGTGTATATACGTGTTATTTATATATACTTGCCCCAATAGTCCGTTAAAGGCTATACGGGGGGAGTCTTTGTTGAGTGTGTGATTAATGCGTGTGTATGTGTGTATATACGTGTTATTTATATACATGTACCAGCCCCAATAGTCCGTTAAAGGCTATACGGGGGGAGTCTTTGTTGAGTGTGTGATTAATGCGTGTGTATGTGTGTATATACGTATGTATATACGTGTTACATACACGTATATACATACATATATACGTGTTATTTATATACATGTACGTGAACTTGGATTTTGTGTACAATATTAATATTGTGTATGCCACATCGCGGCCTTAATAGGTGCTACTCGCTAACAGCACTTGCCCCAATAGTCTGTTAATAGGCTACACGGGGTATCTTTGTCTTTGTAGAACAACGTAAAATTATAGCCGCTGAGCATCTGGTAAATGTTTACAGGGATAATTTAGTTATTTGCAATTGTTTGGACCTAATTATAACGTGAATAATCACCTAACAATTATAACGTGAATAAGTACACGAGACGTCGATTAGAAACACTGGGAATGTAGATGATTATGATGATGATCACGATCACGATTATTTATATGATTAAAATAATAACGATTTAGAATAGTTATTAAATTCAATGCATTCTCAAGGCACAATTCTCTCTCCCCGTGCCGCGTCGATGATTGTGATCGTTAGAATAATAATACAAAAATGTTTGACCATACTTCACCACCCCACTGCAGTTTTTGCGGGTTCGCAAAAGTTGCCTCGTAGCCACTGATGTT